ATCATCATCATCATCATCATCATCATCATCATCATCATCATCATCGTCATCTTCATTATCGTCAGTTTCATTATCTGTATTACCATTACCACCACTCCCATCCCACAAATCAGCCATGCATAGGCATAAAAGTAACCCGACTCCTCGAGAAATTCTGATGTGGAAACTTTGTCAATAAATCTTCTCCTGACTCAGTCCGAGGTACATCACGGTTCACAATGCTGGAACGCCAAGTACAATCTGAAGTCCAACGCGAAGTTGCGTGATCAGTTAAGTGAAGAAAACGACTGGAGTTCAGATCGTAAAAATTTGATTAATATGTAAAACATATGGGGAGTTGCGTAGTGGTTTTGCGTTTGTGACTTGTTTCCTATCAGCAGTGAGGTAGATAGACGTATCATAGACGAATGAAAAACAACATTTATTGTGCTTGTCAGAACTTTTCCAGAATTTGCCATTCTCCTGAAAGCAAATTTCAGCCGATAGGCTTGCTGATGCCACGTTTCTTGACTTGACTTGACTATCATCAACTTTGATGTTATACATACGCCTTCGACGTTTGAAATCCATTACTCTTTTTTACCTCCAGGCCACTGTGCTTCGAGGTTTTATTGCACGAGGTGGGTGGGCCGTGGGTTGAAGGAGCCTATTGACTGGTTCTCTGTAGGTATTCCATACACGATGGATGAATGATCTGCACAGATTCAAATGTGTTTTTCGCTGTTTTGATCAACAGTAATCCACATGAAAGGAATTCCTGTTGCTTTTTCAACTTCAACCTCAGTTTCGGAAAATCGTAACTGGTAACTAACTCTTCAAGGTAATTTTATCTGTGTCAATTCAAGTGACTGATGTGAAATAGTCGGGAATAGTGAAGAAAAAGTAGTTTGCAGAAGTTGATCTTTGAAAGTGAATCAAATCAGTCCCGACTATTCGCATGACAATATCGGTATGCTCCCTTATGGAACGTAGAATCTGTCTATGCAATGCTGAAACTTGAGAGCACAAAGCGCATATTCGACCATGAGAATCCATGTGTTTCTCATCGGTTAAAAGATCTGAAATAACTGCATATATCTGTTTGTTTCATCCTTGTCACCCGCCAGAAGCTTGCTGTTTGAGCAGTCGTACAACAGAAAGTCAAGCAGTGATGTCAGCTCCTAGCAAACTGAATGGGTTCTTCGAACGTGAAAAGATCAGTGCTATCGACGTGGCCTCGTAGCTCAGCTGGTAGAGTGTGCACCATACAAAAGCGTAGGCAGCGTCCATGCATGAGTTCGAATCCCACCAAGGCTACTGAGTTTTTCACAATCGATATACAAACTTCAAATCTGCCTAACAATAAACTGCTGACAGTCAACCCGGTGGATTAATAGACCGGTTTCGAGTCTCAGTAAATTTGGTAGATATTGATGTTTTCAAACAGAAAAGGAACTGAACCAGCTTTAGAGTACGCTCAACGTTGTTTCGTGGTGAAAAACGTCTT